TATATATATATGTATACATCAGATATATATAAAATTATGCACATCAACTATGTGCTGCCCACAAAGACAACAACAACAACAATGTCATCGAGCTGCGATTGTGTGTAGCACATTTGATATTATAAGTCTACATATTAATTCATTATTTCTTGAAATTTCGTAACTTAAGTATTTGGTTTTTTCTTATTGGATCGGATTAATGTCCATTTATTTATTAGCTAAACGATCCAAAAAGCAACAATAACTGAATTTAATATGCCAATTGAAAGGAGTAGACGAAGCAGAAGACGAGGAAAAAACTAAACTAAACAAAAAACTGATTTTGTTAACTTTATGGACTTGCGCCTAATTTTTTTGTTTGCCGTCAATTATTTCGTGTTTTCTTTTTTAATGTGTATGTTTATTATTATTATTATGTATTTTTTTTTAATATAAATATTATTTTTATTTTAAATCTAACTTTACAATTAATATTTAAGCATATTAACATTTAAGCTTGTAAGTGACAACCGAAAAGATACAAGAACAAAAAAATTGTGCCTGAATTTTATTAATGATTTTCGTGGCTTTTCCAATTTTTTTGATCAATAATAGTATATTAATGCTACACTAATAAAAAACATAAACAAAAACATAAAAAAAAAAAACAATCATGTTTCTGCGATTTGTACTGATTACTGATTAACAATAAAACGAAATGTATTTTGAGTGTAATAAAAAAAAAGAAACAAGCAAAAAACCTAAATAATTGTTTATAAATAAAATGTGGAGACACTGGCAATTTTAATGAAGCATATAAACATACATATAATACAAACTGTTTGATGCTAATTTTAGTGAAATAAACGAAAATAAAAAAAATGAAACAAATTTATATGGAGTCTTACTTCTAATAAGAGAGAGAGAGTGAGAGAGAGAGAGAGTGAAAGAAAGAGACAGAGATATCAATAAGAGCGAGAAGCATAATCAGTTGCAGATATGAAGTAGGAGGGGAATGCAGTGATAAGGGCAAAACAGTGTATATGATATTTGATCTTCAAGTAGATTCAATCCAAAGTATAGATCAAAGCAATCCAACTCTCCAGAGGTTAGAGCCAGAGGTTAGAGCCACGGTTTCATGAGGCCTGCTCAGCTAATACACTTAATATAACTAGGAATAGCATTCAAGGAATAGTACGGAACTTAATTTAAACAATCTGTAGGAATTTATGCAGATGTATGACATATTTGATGTTTAAACAATATCTTCAAAAAGTATGTAATGTCGGAAAGATCGGCTTTTGGCAGCTGAAATCAGTGACACAATCTTTTAACTTTTAGCACTGATGAGAGGATATCAAACAGCAGCGATAGAGAAACAAATATTTTTCAAATTTAATGTGGTCAAAAGCTTTTATTGTCTGTATGTGGAGGAAACTTGTTCACCCCAAGAGCAACTGACTAAGGACGCCCCACAGATACAGCCCTTCCCACAGTATGAAATTGCAGCGAAAGAGGAAAACACATGTTTTGTGGCAGGATAGGTAGGGTTCTTGATGTATGTGTATTAACTGCATGAGAATGTATTAAGAGATCAAATAAGTACCAAAGGATAATAACAAAAACAACGCAAAATACAATAAACAAATAACGCAATACACAAAAAAGAAATAAAACGAACTTAGAGTATGAATGAGTGTGAGAATGTGTGTGAGGTTCAAAGAGGACAGAAATTTTTCCGACGGTTGCCGACACTCCGCCTTAGAATGATCCTCACTCGTCCTTCCAGCGGAGACTGAAATCCATCGTCGAATTGAAGCGGCGCCTTTAGGGGAAGGGCATGTCCTCGACATTTGCCAATGCTGAGACCCTTGCCTTATTACGGTCACTGAACGAGGGCGACGAGTGATGAGAGATAGCCATGTTAATGCTTAATGCTACTCGAGATCATCGGAGTGGATAAACTTCGCGTTC